AAACATCAAGGTCAGAAAAATAATGGAAAGCAAACTTGACGAAATCGCAAACCAGTGACACTTTTGTAAGTATTATAAAGTTATACATAGGAAGCACAAAAAATTATTACGCGAAATCGTGCATAAAATATGCTCGAAAAATAAAACTTAATAAATACGTCTGTGAAATGTTGGGGGAAAAATGGGAGAATTCAAATTCTGAAGCTTCCTGCTACGTATACTGGCATATGCTTAGAATGTGTAGATTTTGTCTGATAATTTTTATTATTGCAGACTTATTCTATATCAAAAAAATGCAGCGGACGACAATGTTGAATGAATAAAATTTTGACAGCGAACTATTGAGATAAACCTACGTTTTATTATCAGCAAAATTAATTGTGACTGACACGCTCAATATTTCAAAACTCATAGAATTTTTTGGAACACTCTTCTGTAATTACATTACTAGCATAATGAAATAAGACTGTCTGAAGAATTTGCTGGTGTTAGTCGAAAATAAAATTATCAAAGACTATAAATAAAGCGACAGGTGTTGGTTAACTATCTCCATACAGATATGCGCACCTAACTGCCATGATTTGAACGGTATAAAATCTGTCTTCTGTATACCTTTTAAAATTGTTTCTAAATTTTTCTACAAATGACTTAAAGGAAGTTTCTAAATTAGTGAAAAGGCTGAGGTTAAGCAAATTCTACTCATTAACTGTTTTGTGTAGCTAAAAATACAAATCTATTCATTCTTCATGTTAGAATAATAGCTGAAGACAAATATGTTTCATTATGTTTTTCTTTAGTTTTGCAATAAATAAATCTACGTTTTTATAAGTTTAATCTCTTACATTTATGGATTGTATTCCTTTAGGTAATTTGATTTTTCTAAAACATTTATACCGACTAAGTTTAACTACAGACAAATTCATTGAAAATACTCAAATCGATTGCAATCTAAACAGAATAGAAGCAATGTACACAGATATTGGCTTAATTGAAAAATGTCTGTATATTTGAAATAAAAAAAAAACACCTCAGCATATTGTTTCGTAATTGTGTAACATTTACGATGAAAACCGTTACTTAATTGTTGGATAGTAGTTTTATTTACTGTTTACAACAAATTCCTGTTGAATAATATTAACATTATCGATTTTATCATGAACTGATTCCAATTTTCATTCATCACTTCGAATGATGAAAATTTCCAATTTAAGCAACCAAGATAATAGAGAGAGGGTGAGTCAAATTCATCATTCTAAAGTACAACTTTTTATTCCATACCCAATATTCTCCTAATGATCAATAAAATTATCACTAGTAATAGCGATGATTTCTTTTTATCGAACATATTAGTTCAGGTCATCTAATCTCTTATGAATATGATTATTTAAGTAAGTAGAGATATTTTTAAAGCGAAAAGATTGACATTCCTTCCTAATAGGTTTGAATGGTCATCATTTTTTATTATGAACACTGTCATTACTACTATTATTATTATTATTATTATTATCTGTAGTAAAGTATTAGTATTAGTAGTATTAGTAGTAGTAGTACTAGTACTAGTAGTAGTGATAGAATTACTAAAAGAACGACATTTCAGGTCATTACGAGTAGAAAAATTATTTTTTACTCATACAAAGTATTTTCTTATCTTTGTTGGATAATAAAACTGAATGTAGCCTTATCAAACTAGATGAGTTCATCAGACCATTAAATAACATAAAAGGAGAATAATGCTTTTCATTTATTAAATAGAAAATGTATAAAAATGTCCTTTCTTAACTTTCAAGACAGATATTGCAAATGGAAAAAAGGTTTCGTTTTGCTTTTGCTGTAAGCATTTTAACCTAACAAAAAAATTTTCAAAAGTTTGCATTTATTTCCGTGTTTGTGTGAATGTTTCTGTTTTTTTTTCTGTAGAAAATTCTAATTTTCCTGAAATCAATAAAAATGAAACTGGACACTACAATGGCATTATTGAATTGTTGATTTCTTTTTTTCCAATCGGAAAATCATACAGCATCTTATACTGATTTTCAATATTTTTGTCACAGTTATATTACAATAGAAATGAAATCTATCAGTTATTTTCTACTGTATATTTCAAACCATTTAATAATGTTTACACTTGAAGTCAAACTCAAATGTTCTTGATTCAGTTGTACATGTGAAGTCAGAATCATTCACTGAACAGGTAAAAATAGAATATAGTGAAATATCTTTCTATTTTCTAGTTAATATCAGGCTATGATAAAAATAATCAGATTATATTGTTGAGTGATTTAATAACTAAAATGTAAGTTGAAATGATTTGTAAAATTTGAATGTTGAACGACGCATGTATATTGAACAGTTGTTAGTTAGTGATCAATGTAAACTTGTCTAAAATAAAATACATTTTCTGTTTCAAGTGATCCATTCAGCAAACTATACATCTCAACTTGTCATGACAAGTTTACACAAGAATCTTATTCACTAAATTACTGAGGTTTTGATTAGCTTACTTTGATGAAATAAACCATTATGTAGGATTTTATTTTCGTGATAATTTTAGTTTGTGTAGAACTCAGATAAAATTTCAAATAATGTCTCATTCAGACATACTTTCTCTTATAAATCATATCATTTTTTTGCTTTTAATTAGTTAAGATTGTAATGTTACCGTAGAGAATTTATTTAGATTTACAGATATTATAGTTTGCATCACGAACTGTGTCTGATGAAATCATGTGTCGATTAATTATTAGTTTCGAAGTTCAGTTTCTGTAGTTCTGTTGTATGACCAATGGATTTCACCTAAATGATACTGTTAAATGACATTAGAAAATAGTTGCTCAATACCACCAAGTGAATAAAGTTAGTGTGCTAACCTCTGAGTAACGTCTCAGTGTTCTAGAGACAAAACACTCAGTAAGGTTTGAAGGATCTGGGTTCAATCCGCCCAAGGTTGGGTAGTGAATGCACACTGATGAATTGTTGCATACTAAGATGAACCAATAACTATTCAAACGTTTCTTGTTTTTCAGTTGTTTCAGACTATGATCAGTCTATGATGCAAACTATGAAATATTGCATAATAGTACACACATACTATCTAAGCTTTTGGCTGAATTCGTTAAACATTTGTTTTTGTCAGTTTCCATTGAAATTTGTGATCTTATTTGTTATCATTTTGTCTGTGAGTTGAATAAAAATGAAGTAATTATCTACAGAGTACTGTCAATTATCATTTATTAGTTTAAATAATTTATAAAACGATATATATAAAAATTTAATGAGTTGATGTAAATGGGAAAGACAAAACAAACATTTTATAAATAAAAAAAGCTTTGTTTGATTTTAGTGAAAAAGATACTTTTCTCTTCATAAGCTTTCATAATTACTGTTTATGCAATAAAAGTTACCATAGACATAAAAAAGGAATACACATAAAAGATATTAATGAAATATAAGAGACTAAAATTCAATGGATTTGGTTGCGTTACAGTTTAATTTGATGATATTTTTATAACTGTTTTGTTAATTTTAACATACATTGAAACGAACGCCATACAGACCGTGTTGCATGAAGGAAACATTTAAAGACTAATTTACTAAAACCTCATTTGAGTATAAATCTATACAGATAAAATGTGCGGTAATCATTTTTTTAAGAAATAATAATCATAAATAAATTGAAAATGCTAAACTCTACAGAGATAAACTCATACCTAAAATATTTGTTCAATCAATTTAAGTTTCAATAATAATTCTGATTAATCACATGATATAAATTGATTACTGAACAAGTTAGCTTATTTCATTGAACATTGTAAAATATTTATGTTAGGATAGAATTTGTTATGTAACGAATTTATGTATATATATTTTTAATGTACCTTCAATGAGTTTGGTGGTTTTTTTCTAATGGAATCACACTGATTGTCCTTTAATCAGATTTATTATTATTATGATTTTAAATTAGTTTTATTTATGAGCATTTTTAACGTAATCGTTATTTATAAACAAATTGATGATATATTACGGTTGGGAAATCATTTAATCTATTTGAACGTAAACATTTTATAAATTGTCTAACAATTTGATTCTTGTAAACACACTTGAGAATATTAAACTAGGCTATAAAAAAAACGCGCACACGCAACTGAAAAGTGTCAATATTTTTAAACCATTTCAACACCTTGTTTATGTCAATAAAACTCACAAACAGACATATCAATTTGCTTGTTATCTACAGTCCTGATTACAAGTTCAGAGATTGATGTTAGCAAACTATTATAACAGGACTAAGTCACGGTTAGTTTTGTGGACAAAACAAGAATCGACTAAAATGCGGAATTTCGTTGGCTAGTTTTAGATAACTTTCGTAACAGCTTTTTTTTTCAAAATAAAATCTTATAGTTAACACTCTCGTAGTAGTGTTCAATTGTTGAATTCCTTTTTCTAATATTTTTATATTTCATTAATCAATGACTGTGTTCAACCTTATAAAAGAAGTCAGTAGTTGCAATCTACTACTATTGTTTGAAAGATTATCCTTACACATGTTTAGTCCAATTAAGAATTAGTTTGAAAATGAATTCATGATAAATAGTTTCTGTAAGTTTTCATCTGAAAATGTTGATGACTAATTATAACCGATTACCAGTTTAACAGAAATTAATATTCATCATCAAGTCATTTACTGTTTGTAACATTTGTTTATAAGAGATTGACGATTTAATTCATTAATTTCAGAGTTTAGTAATTTTGAAAGAAACACAAAAAGTGTGAACTGTTCATCCTACAGGTTTTTGTTTTCTGTCTGTGTCACATATGATAGTAAATATCTTAAACTCAAACTATTAACTCTAACGAAGTCTAATCAACATTTGACTTGAAAATGTCCCTTAACGATTACAGTCAGTAGCAGTTCATAATAATTCGTTCAACTGTTTAAATGATAACTAAAGGCATATGCAAGAGATAGGCAATTACCATTTAAACAAAAGAAATATACTTACGTGTCTGTTATTTTACAGCATATTTGTTTTCCTAACGGTCCACAACAATATTTCATATCTTCCGATTGATTCGGTTGTGGACAGTGGAATTTTCCAGAATTAATTAAAATTAAATTTTTACTAGTTATATTACTATTGTTATTATTATTACTGTTGTCATTTTGATTTCTGGATTTATCTAAACGTAACCATTTCTGTTTAGATTCATTAACACACCAAATTACTCTTCCAATCACTGGCGTCGGATTATCTTTCCATAAATCATTAAATGAGCCAGTTGTTGATTTAAACAAAGAATTTGATTGAGTTGTAGTGTGCAAAATTGTTGAAGATAATGATTGATCAGAAAACAATTGATTTTCTTGAATTGGTAGACATTGCACAAATATAATATACAATTCAATAAATGATAAAATGTACAAAAATCTATTCAAATATAAAATCAACATCCTGATCATGTTTATGAACAAAAAATATTTCATTTTGATTGTAATCATTTATTTTCATTTGATAAATTTTATTTCCTATCTAGTATCCTTTTGTTTAACGAAAAAAGAGATTATAAACTGAGGAAATAACTAAATGAATAAATGGTTTATTTTATACTGACTGAGCTCTGAACAATAATTACTTAGGCAGATTATTTAACATAGTTTTAATGGAATTTGTGGTTGTTTTCTTATTATATTTTGTCGCTTAGTTTGTTTTATTCTCATTGGTTTATACACAATTTGGAAAAATATTTCCAACCTCAACCAGACTAACTTTTGATTGGCCAAGTCTTCTTACTGCTTCTTTGTATAATAATGACTTGATTATCTCATTATTATTATTATTATTATTATTATTATTATGTACACTAATACTGATAGTATTGTGGTGTGTACTACTTACATTGGATCTCATAAATAGTATTCAGTGGGTGTTCATCAGTGTTGCCGTGTTGATGTTACGGTCAAAGAGAGAAGTGTCTGATATGAATTTATGGCTTGATCTGAGTGTTTTGAGGAATGGAAGACAAATGGGTAAAGACAGTCAAGAAAATGTTTGTTTTGCAAATGGATGGTGTATGATAAGGTGTACACGTTTTGACTAGAAGATTGTATCTATTCCTGCTACTTCTGTTGCACCAGTAGTCGTGATGAAATTGTTGGTAATATAAGTGATATGTGGTGAATTTGTGTTTCAAAGACATAAGTTCTTATTTTCCTTACACATACTTCTGTAAGTAGTATTTGTGATACGAATGGGGATTCGGGTTCGTTTGTCCAAGTCGAATAATTCAGCATTCATGAATCATTAACTTCTATAGCTGTTTTATTTATCGGCAAAAAGAACACTTTCTTGATGATGTACCATTATCATGTCAGGTTTTATTACTAGTTTCAATAATCCAAAACCTAACGTTAACTCAAAGGTGATAAGAAAATAAGATATCCATCGGTTAAGATTTTCATTAACCATACAAGCATTAATTTTTTCTTTCCTGATGAGCTCAGTAACTGAATAATAACGAATTCCGGTAACAACTCTTGTGAGCAGCATCGGTTGGACCTATTATCTGGAAAAAGGCTTTTCGATATGCTGATGATCTTGTCCTTCGATGAAATAATATACAAATGGCACTTAATCAACAAACAATCAATATCCGTAAGTAGGCCGTGTACTTTGTACCTTCCAATTGCATTTCTATGAGATTGACTGCAACATGTCAACGTATAGTTGTATGAGTGGTATGAGGAATCACATCAATTTATACACGTTATATACTTATGCCAATTCGGATTAGCTTTGGTATTATTGTTGTGTTAATTTGGCAGTTAAAAATTCACCCTTACAACATATCTGTGGTAGAAGTCCTGCATTATGTCTATAAAACGTAGACTTCTTGAGTTGGTGATGGTAGTTGATTGTGAATTTGATCATCGTTGTCTTCAAAGTATTTCTGGCATTTAATGACAGCCCCATGTTAATAATGAGTAGTCTGTGCAACGTATGTTTAGGCCCAGTGTTAGTTAGTGTCACCGCCCTAGAAAATCGATTTCATTGGCTTGGACTTGTGTCATGAATGTCAGTCCAGAAACTTCAAAACCTTTCATTATTTGATCTCCCTTGAAGTACTAGGACAGAGTTGTCGGCACATCATCAGACGACTCCAAATAAAAGCCGATGGTAATTCTTGCTGTCGTTTTCTTCTGCATTCCTCATTAAAGTGATAGAAAGTTTTAAAGCGAAAAGCTTATTCTTACTTTTATTCCGGTTTAACTGAACTGTTTTTCATGTTGTATACTACTATCGCTCACTTATTTTTATCCAGTATTTATTTCGATTTTACAAGTCACTCCTGCCTCATCTCTTTATAATTACACATTTTATTTATAGGGTCCATATTTATTGTGGTGTTTGGTCATACCAGTATTTGTGCTTTAAATAAATATATAATGTTTCAGTGAAGACGTTATCAAGTATTTTCAAATGAACTACTCCAAATAGCCCAAAACGTACTTTCTAGATCTAAATACTGACTTTAAACGATTTTAGTTATTTTTCAACACTGTCAACTCAACCGATACTTACTCAATAGATTAAAATTTTTCTACAATTATACCATATATTGAATATCGTGATGAGAAATATATTTGGTTTGTGATATTGGAAATTCAGGTTCTGTTTAAAGTTGTGTTAATCTGATGTGCTGATGATGCTGTTCAGAAGAGCGATGAAAGTTCCACAACCAAAATATCCAGCTCAAGGAAAGAAATTCCATCACAATAAATACTTTACACCTTACATCTTATTCACAGCTTTTCATCAGAACTCTAGAAATAATCCTTTTATATTAGTTACTAATAAACACATTGTTATTTGTGTAAAGTGGATTTTTGTTATTTTCCTCTCTCTTATTTTAACTATTTAAAGTTTACTGTAAAAATAACTCATATTCTCTTCAACAAATACGTCCCCATTACATCAGATTTTGTGAACATTCATCTTGTCTTATCTCTGCAACTCTGTCAAGTAATTTATGTGAGGATTCAATGTGGAACTCTCCTAATAATATTTTTTTGTATGATAGAAAACAATGTGTCAATGTAATCTCTAAATTTTATCATGGTTTTTCTTAGATCACTGTATAAATATATAAAACATAATGTTAGTTAATGTAAATACCTAACATAAACTAATTCATTTCAAATGAACAGGTGAGACAATTCTCATGAGATTAAATCAGTATGTTCATTATAGCTATTGGCATTAATTTGTTGAAGTTTTCATTAAAGGTGAAAATATTGTATTAGACAATTGATTCATATACATGTATATAAACAGTGATGTATTGAAAATAGTTTTAGTCATTTATAAATAGTTTAGACCAGAATTCGTTTTCAAATCTTAATCAGAAACACATTCCTGTCATTAGCTGTTAGGATTCTGTTTGTTGTTTATACATCACGCTTCGAACATATAAGTCGTGAATAATCCAGATTCAATTGTAGTATGAGATAGACGAGAAGAGGTTATGAAGTTAGTTATTAAAATTAATTATGTTATGTAGTTTATGCAAAATTACATTCATGCCGACTCGATATCGTGCTATAGATCATGAGATAAGATAATATATTATTTTACAGGCCAATTCAAATTTAGTTGATGGCGATTCAACACATCGTTATGCTTATAATGCAAATGGCTACGAACTATGTATATATTGACAAAGGGGATTTCACTGAAGTATATGTTATAGTTTATGCCTAATAGTAGGCGAAACTAATGACTTTTAGAGTTTCAGTTAACAATTTTCCCCTTATTTATAATTAAAGTTAATTGTTTAGCTAGCTTCTTGCAAATTGAGTTCAACCATTATTGGTTTTAGTGAATTGTATTGTGAATACTAATTAGTATTTATGAGGTTCTTTCTATACAAAAGCTTCCTAAAAATCGGTTATAAAATTAAGTAGGTAATTAATTTCCACATGAAACCACGTTTAAGCGCCAATTATTTTTTATCTTTTTCTCTAGTCGAACTAAGAAATGAAACTCCGAAAGACAATATTAAGAAGTAAGATATATATTTTTTATCGTCAATGAGATTTTAGATTGTTGTCAGGACTGTTTAATAATGTACATTTTGAAGATGATATGAAAATGATATTGTTAACTTGATGAGAGATGTGTGTTATTTCAAGTTATTTAGAAGTTATGATACATATATATTTGATACATAACGTAAGATATTTGACATACGGAGACAACAAGATCTTGGGAGGTGCAACACATTAGGAATAGGGATTTTACACGTCATGTGGCAATTAGGATCAACTCCAGTCAGAAATTCCATTTAACGATAAAAGCATCTTTTTCTTTCTAATATGAATGAGTATAACCTACTTGCTGTTTTTTAAAAGTCTTTCATTATTCACTGCTTGAAGACGAAGTGAATCAGAGAGTTTTGCTAACAGTTTGTATAATTACTAATTTAACTGCTGATATGAATAGATAGTCTTATTGAGTATACTAGTGTATGCATATTTCAAATATCTGTACTTCACTGAATGTTGTTCATACCTATATTTCAAGACGCCAGTAATATGCTTTAAATAATACCACTACTTAATCACTTATTTTGTCTTCTGGTGTGTCAGAACTTTACATAATTTTTGTTCACTTTTATATCGATTATCAGTATGGAAATGTCTAGTTGTTGTATACTGTTGTTTTCATCAATCTTAGCACAAAAACAACGTTGCTTATATCATTTCCTGTTTATTATTGATGATAATTTTCAGTTTGTTGGCGACTGGAAACTATAACACGTGGTTTGTCCTATTTTGAGCGCACCAACTAAAATATAACTTCCTCTCAGTGTTGATATTCTCGTCGAAACTTGCGCCTTTCAGATCATATAAACAGAAGTGACAAACTCTTACACATGAAAGCCTAGCTAGTAATTTTTAAAACGGATATCTATCTAAATATACACGTAGACGTATTTTTTTGTATGTGAAACTATTAACCAACTTTTCGTTTTTAAGTGTAGCACTTATCTAGTTTTAGGTAATTTGAAACTTTGCTAAGAATTAACTACTGGATAGTGCTTTGCATGATAATTTTTAAATTTTTTTCGGTAATATCGTCTCTGTAAAATAAATCAATGAAATATGTGATGAATGAAAGATTATGTATTCATTCTAGAAGGAACCTTGCTGTCGACTATTGAAAATTAAATTCATTCATGATGTAGGATGAATAAAGATTTATAAGTTGAGACTTTTTTAAATTCGAAAAGTGGCAAATATTCACGACTGCTCTGTGATGTGATGACGGATACAGAAATGTGATTCCACGAGGTTATAAATCCATCAAATGTAAACTAATATTTTACATAGCATACCTCAGGCATTTTACGATGAAGAACGTAAACAAAATTTTGAATTTCCTTTATGGTCAG